ACCAACTGCATCTAATATCTCTCTCAACCTACAATTAGTTTATTCTCTACGGTTGCAATTTACACTGCGATTCATCTAATCAGGAAAACGTGATACATAGTAGCAAAACTACGCTTCTGAATCACACTAGGAAGTGGTAACACCCTCAGGACGTATAAACAAAATCCAAATCTCCTTTAAGCGCCATGTGTTGTGGCGAAGGCGGAAGGTTTCGAGGGGCCAAGGCTGTCGGGCAGACCTAACCTTAGAACAGCGGACCATACTTGGAATAAAGACGCGGAACTCCCTTGAAAGTGAACAGTGAACACTGTGAGAGTAGGAACATTGGTAGTGACAGGTGCTAGTGGGACTGTGGAAATGTGACTATGTAAACAGAGGAAAGTGAATGTGTTCCCTTGCGTCATTTAGGAATTCACGAGAAATAACAATTTCTGTCGACAGTTTTTGAGGTAGCTTTATGTTTTTGTAAACATTTATATTGCAATAGTTTCAAAGTAGTGCAAACTCTGTCCTTACTGCGGCAAAAAATAGTCATAAGTTTCAGTGGTGGATGGGGAAACTACGTTGATTATTCGCAATTAAAAAATCTTAGTTTCTGTACCCAATTAAATCCCAAAAATCCAAACCCTGTAAGATCTGCTAAACTGATAACTGAATCGAGTACAGGTTAATCTAATGATCTAACAGGCAGTCTTCATACTTGAAAACGATTTGTAGACTTACCCGTTATCAATTAATCAGGCATTATCCTTAACCAGACAATCTCCTTCGAAAGAAATCCGAACTACATTTTCCCAGTGCAAATTCAATTTGTTTTGAAAATACTAATTAGATATCGGACTAATCACGCTTGAATTAGAGTTCTATTGTAGTCCGAGGTCCGATATCACGATGATTGGCAGGTTTGGATTCACACAGAGTTTCTTTGTTGTCAAAGCAGAGAGTAATTACATTATTTCGGTGCAAGCCTCTGTTAAGTGTTTGAGGCTGTTTGTAAATAGAATACTAAATGGTACTGTATATTCCTATAAAGTATGTTTAAATGTAAGGTCTTAATAGTCAATCTTTTTTAGAAAATGCCACGTCCCAGATCCACAGCCATTTACCTCAAGTCCTGCCGGTGATCATGGATATGTCTACCATGATCGTGATTGAACTGACCGAAAACCCGTAAGATATAGAGATGCTGAGGGCAACATCGTCTTTGAATCACTATTTAAAGAAATAACGTGAATCATCCGACAGAATGATGCTCACATCCGGAGAAAAAAAGAGAGAAAAACACACCGTTCTCCAGAAACCTAGCTCGCTCTACCTCCAGTGTTCGTAGGAGCATCTTGCTTTTTAGTATCTTGTGATAGGGATCAAAGTCTTTCGCAGTATTCAAGGAAAGGAATTTTAATTTATTATGTTCCTCATGCTCTAATTTATTGTAGATTCGAAGATATGTTGGAGTTTAAGTCTTTTAAAGACAGATATTTTCGGCCAATGCACCTTTGGTAGAGCGCGGCGGCTTTGGTGAATAAAGATGAGACTTCTGTCCCATAAGCACTGTTTCGAATCCCGCTATTCACCAATGGGGTTTAAATGATGGTTCAGAACCAACGTTAAAATGTGGATCAGTATATATATATATATATATATATATATATATATATAGAAACTGAAAAAAGAATATGCCTTTTAAGTAAAGAGAACTCACTTTACTAAAAGGCATTAGGATATTTTAAGTTGTTAGTGCATCTTTTTAGAAGAACTTTTATAAGGGTACTACAACTTAAATGTAACTACAGTGACAACCCATAGAAATGTCATAGCTAAACCAAAACCATTTTAACTCATTGGGATAAATATATGTACAATACTGATAAACGCGTTAACGATTTATTTTTATATCCAACAAGATTTAAAGCCATTCTCTTCTAAATGTTCACCTTGCTACAATTTTAATTCAAAAAGTTAAATCTTGACATGCCTTAAAGTTTTGTATTTAGAACGTGCCCTGTGCATTTGGACCAATACGGGTGAGTTGGGGGAGGGGGGGGGGTTAACTGTCATACTACAGTATCGTCTTTCTCAGTGTGTATTTATTGTCATACCACAGTTTTAAAATTCCGTATCTATATACTAATAGGCAAGCATGTTTCTTTAAGTCTTATGGGTTGCCATGCTGGTGACGAAATAACAACGTAATAAACATAAAAACAAATGGAAGAAATTCCAATCACATGTTTTACTTACAGCTTGGGGTGAAAATAGAGAAGCCTGTACCTTTTGACTTACAACTAGACATTCCATTTCCATGTTAAAGTTGTCACCAGTTATTAAATTAAATTCGTCGAAGTTGATGTGAGCCACCAACAGATTGCGCTGATCTAAATTACTAATTTCTGTCGAATAGACGATGTTTTTTACCAAGTCAACTTTTGGAATGAGCTATAGCAACTGTTATGACCCATCCACTTTGTCAGCAACAAAAAATTAGGTAGAAATTAGAATTTTAGACACTCATTCTGTATGGCTCACACAATTACAATGTTTTATAATATAAAAAATGACGACGGCTGGTCCATATAGATGGGATGCCTACTTCAGTATCCAATAGTCAATGCGTGTGCATTACATATTTTTGGTCGAGTTTTCGACCACTGGACGACCACTACCTAGTATATATTAATTCGTCCAGAAACAACTGCTGCTCAAAAGGCAGACGTGTTAATAAACTCAAGATCGACTGCGTCTGTTCTCAAGGACTGTTTATTTATAGCTTGAGGCTCTTTAGTCTTCACGTCATAACAAATCCCATTTTTTTTTTTTAATTAATGTATTGTGACCTTGTTAGTATACGTTAACATAAGAATTTTAAATATAAACAATATTGTATTTAATGCCACACTATGTTTTTTTTTTTCAAATCTAGGCCTACATAATATTTTAGTCAGTTTAGAAATAAACTATTGATATTGTGTCTCAAAATTTAGAACAAAACAAATTGGTTTTGTTTGGGGAAACATTTTGCTGATTCCCGTTTTGTAAACTATATACAAACAGTTGATTCACGGATATTAGAACAAAAGCATTAGGTCATTATTATATTAGATATTAGATCAAAAACATAAACAAATGACGTCACTGGTAAGAAAGTAAACATTATTTTATTAATATGTAAATGGAACTGTCAAACCAACTGTTACGGCTATTGATATGGATATGGCATTCGATCCTAGGACTACATTCGAGCACAGAAAACAAGTATGTTTTCTGTGATTCGAGCCAGTGATGTCATTTGTTTATGTTTATGATCCATACAGTTTCTGCTCATTAGTTAGTGCTTGTATTTCCAGTACTTCGAATATAAATAAAATGTCTACCCATGTTGTGCTGTAATTTTAGATTTTATAGACTATCATGTTCTATCTTGTTCTATTTACAAGACGTTTTGGTTGATCAGATCAATAGATTAAAAAATAAACTCAACGGACTAAAAGGTCTTAACACCTTTTTATTTCTCTCTGTTTCTGAATTCCAAAATTTAAACATATAAATGTAGCCTACTTTACCCTACAGCGTCCTTCGAATAAAATTTTAAATTTAACCGTCTGCGTTAGTAAAACATACATTTGTTTGGTTCGACGAAGATAAGCACAATTTTCTTTATCTTCAGACGTTAATTATATTTTTAAAAGGTTTGGAAAAACACATATTTTGGTACAAGTTCCACCTAACTAACCCCTCATTAAACCAATTACAGATTCTTGACCTCATTGAAATAGATATTGGTTTACTCTTCTGGTCCAAATTGCATCAAATTCGGAAAATCATTACGAGGATTGTTGTGCCTACTAACACGCATTCACGAAATTTGAACGACTGGTATACCTAATTGATTTCTTGGTCATCAATAACGTAAAAATACAGTGTCTACCATGAAAACAACACTGATACATATTTCGTCAAGAAAAATTAGCAACAATTTTTAAAATTTAGGAAGTAAATTTCTGAAGTAACCCACTTAAGAAGTTGCGCACTTGAGAAGTAGCGCGTGTCCTTGGTCAACAGCTGTTGAGTGTAGTGTTGTTATGGATTGCGGTGTTGCGTTGTCTTATGCAATATAGAAAGGCTTCGCCACCCGATGGCAAACTTCATTTAAACTATCTTCCTACTTGTCTCCTATCTATTAGCGTGTTGACAGTTGGAAGTAATGTTTGTAAACAAAGCTTTGTCTTCTTTGTTTCCGCAAGCTGGCCCAAGGTTGCGCAATTGTCTTTGTGTTTTTAAAATCCTTTGTTGATTTGTTTTGTAAATTATTGAAGAGTTTGAATGTATGTTGAAATTGTTGAAGGAACAAATCCTTTTATGTAATATTTTTAATACAAAACTTTTTAGCGTGCGATTATTTTGTACACATATAATTAAAAATATTAACTAACTTTGAATATTTAAATAGTTTAGAGCAATCAATAAATGGTTTTTATATAGTGAGATTATTTACTTTTTTATTCTAGAAACTCGTAGGGACAAATATATGTGTAACAAAGAAAATACTTAGAAAATAGACCATAGTCATTGTACGGTGGTATGAAGAGAATACAAATGCTTCTATTCATAAAAATGTGTTGCAAATCTAATGCATAGGCTATCACCGAAACATTAGTGTTTTTAATGTTCCATAGCAAAGAATTAAACACAAGATATTTTAGTCAAGCTTTTTCGTTTTAACTTTCCAACTTAATTATTTTCACCAAAACTAACTTAGTTTAACTAACTTGTTAGCTAATTAAAATTAGCTAATAATTGAAATTCCTAACTGCACTTTTCAAACGAAGCAACTTTCTAACAATTAATATTCATTAAAAAAATTATGTCGTAGAACGATACTTTTTCAATCAAATATTTTCTTACTTTCCATTCCAATTCTTTATTTTAAATCCGACATCCGACCAAGACAAACACACTTTTTTCCTGAATCTGTTTACTAATCGATTATCATATTCTCTTACCCAGATTGTTGTTTTCCTGCGCCTCATTGCACCTGGACACCACTCTGATGATAGCTCTCCCGGCCAACCTGGTGCACAACATCATGGCGGGCATGTTGGGGTCCGCGTTTTCAACATCTTCATGCGCAACATCTTGAGACGGGGGTCGCATTTTGGTCAACACTTCCAATACACTACAAAAACTTGTCTGCAAGCTAAGTGCTGTATATGCTGTTTGTCGCCCAGCGCACCGTTCACTTCTACGACGCGCGAACGCTCCGCAAGTTTATATACGACCAGCTGATCGCAACAACAATGCACCACTGCGCACCGCTTCTGCGCATCTTGGCACGCGCTCGGTTTATTTTTGTTCGAATTTAGTACGAAACGCGTTTCTTTGTCGGTCTGTTTGCTCTTTGCTAGACCGGTCTAGTTAAAATTGTCGCGCAAATGCGGTATTTATATTTAGGAGTTTATTGAATAGCAACAATGGTTTAGAAACGCATTGTTGTCTGTACCATTGTACATAAGACATTAAATATTGTCCTTTCAGTGTTGGGGGTAGGTATTGTAACAACAGTTTACTATTCGTAATCCAATAAAGTTTTTTATTCAAAACTAGCTGGATTTGTAACATGAAAATATTATAGCTAAACAAATAAGCTTCTTAAAAGGATTTTCACAAGTATTTAATACCCCCACCGCAGCAAACCTGCAGACTAAGCGAATTTCCATTTGACTGATTGGATTTACACTGAAATGTCTATTTAAAAATTTAACATTTATTCCCTATTTAAATAGAATTAGTTTCTAACAAGTACTTAGGTTTGCTGCATCAGGGAGGGTAAAACTTTTTTTGTAAAATGTTAATAGTTAGTAAGAAATAAAAACATTTTCCAAATTTGATCAAAAATATGTTCATAAACAAGCAAACTACAACAGTTTACTTATTCTCCATAAGAATAACATGGGAATTTTAAATTTACAATTTTTTGGAATTTTCTCCATAACCATTAGGCGCATAATAACGCTTCAATATACTAAATTATTTGTTTTTTAAGCTCTACAAAATGGTTTGAAAAGAAATTGCTAAATTCTCTCCAGTTTATGAGAAGCGGAGGGGGTCTATAATTTGCAATATATCTTGTTGTTGAACCAACTTTAACATAAAATATCAATATTTGAGAACCAAAGAGCTAAGCGCAAGCATAAATCGAAAAATCTCACTATGCATTGGTGCAATTAAACTTAAACGTCACCAAAACACACGCCAAACAAAACAAACTAATCTTAATTTTGTAAAATATTACAGCATTACAATATGAACTAAAAATTATTACAGGGACGTATGTCTGTGTGTGATAGAAATATGCATATATTTTTTAAACGTTTTTATTAGCTCGCTTTCTTGTCCGGTACAAATTTTGCAATCAATTTTATACTAACTTCCCGTTGAGCTAGAGACTTGAAACTTGATACATAGCTCACAAATGGAAGACAATGCAATACTAAATCATTTAATTTTCATATTTCCCTTGGGCTACGCCCCATGGGCTTGTTTTTATTAATTCGCTTTCTTGCAAATGTTTATACTTCCTAAAGAGCTAGAGACTTGAAACTTGAAACATAGCTCACAAATGGATGACAATGCAATATTATATCATTTAATTTTCATATTTCCCTTGGGCTACGCCCCATGGGCTTGTTTTTGTTAGCTAGCTTTCCTACAAATTTTGATTTCAATTTTAAACGAAGTTCCCGATGAGCTAGAGACTTGAAATTTGAAATATAGCTCACAAGTGGATGACAATGCAATATTATATAATTTAATTTTCATATTTCCCTTGGGCTACGCCCCATGGGCTTCCAAATTTTCCTTGTTTACAATTTGAAAGAATGTAAATATATCAACAAATTTAAGTCAGCTGTAAATACTAAAATTTGACAGTTCGAAGTACAGATGTTAAGAGGTACAGGTTATGCTCCCAAGAGATTCTTTATATAAACAAACATTCCAAATAAAGATAAACAATCTGATTGCAGATATAAAGGTGTTTGCTAAGAATGTCAATTTTTATTTATTTAGTATTCTATAAAAAAAACAATAAATTAAATAGATTGATATATTTATAGTTAGTAGGTAGGCCATACATTCAATCTAATACATAATTATACGAAAATAAACTCAAATAAACCTTAGATTTCCCACATGCCTCTGTCTTAATCTCATATAGATGCTAGAGATAGATTTAACATCCACACACATTAAAAACTAAAAAGTAGAAAATAATTTATAAATAAAAAACCTTTTTAAATCAAAACGTTTTTAAACGCACTAAAAAGTAGAAAATAATTTATAAATATGTGGAGAGAAAAACATGGGGTGCATGCAATAGATGATTTACAATTACCTTCACCTATTTGAACTAATGTATACTCATCAATTGCATGCACCCCACGTTTTTCGTTTTAAATCTTACAAGTATTTATACTCTCCACATATTTATAAATTATTTTCTACTTTTTAGTGCGTTTAAAAACGTTTTGATTTAAAAAGGTTTTTTATTTATAAATTATTTAAAATAAAGTTATATTGTCTACACTTATACCGGTAAATAATTTAGAAACCTTAACAAATAGAACCAAATTAAATTATGTGAAAGCAAAGCACTAAACAGTGTTTTTGTAATTCACTAGCAAAACACGATAAATCGAGGTTCTGGCAAAGAGCAAATGGCAGATGCCTCGACCTAATCTAACTTCTGAGGTCCTAGGATTTGCAAAAGGTCGAACTGTCATGTAATTCTATTTGGGTCAACATTAACATTGGCATTGTTGGCTGCGCAACACTACAAGGGTGGCACTTGTTAAAGTAAATATACTTATGTTTATTGTTGAAAAATTATAAAACTGTAGAGGGCCATTTCAAAATACAAGTTAATTACAATTTTATTGAAGAGTACCTATTCTTTAGTTCATAGAGAAATATTTTCTTAAGGCGATGAAGAAATTGAAAGGTTTGCTCACATTATCTGGAATGATTTTATATTTTATAAATGATTTGTAAACACTTTGTATGGGACGTATCAATTCGAGCACTGACGCGTTTGATACAAAAATTAAAACAAATGTTTAAAATATGTTTTGTGTGTTTCCTCATTTCAACGTTATGGTCACATAATTTTATTGCATTGTGTGTATTATCAAATTCGTCTTGATTGAAGATAAAACTGGTTTTACCTGCCAGTATTGTTACCTATATGTATATATTTTTACCTACCAATGTTGACTATTTCCATACTTATGTGTTATTGCTTACCATGCGAAGAAAAATACATGTCTTACATTTGTTTTATTGTTCTTTATAACTTTTATGGTGGAACTCAATTAACTCAAAATAACGCGTCTCGTCGGGCGATTTAAATCAATTCCAAAACTAAATTAATTACGTCCACTTCCGCCTTCTATTTCGAAAAATGTGATGGATGTTGAAAACGGAACACGCGGAGTATATTTGTACTGGGGAAAACCCATGAGGGGGGAGCGTCTAAATGTGGCATGAGGGCCAGGCCGCTGGCCTTAGGCCAACACACAGCTGCTGGGCCTGTGGCCAGATCGGCCACTAACCCCCCTCAACAGGGCAGCACAGTGGCCGGTAGCCAGTGCACTAATTACTTAAGACACAGTAATGTACCATACACACATTTATCATAGTTGTATAAGTATAGGGATAAGAAGACAATTAAAATGCCTATTTTAACCAGCGTTTGAGCAAAGGAAGACTGAAGAATATGGAGTGATATGCCCCAGAATTGTGTCGCTTTGTTGTGTTTTATGTTACTTTATGTTGCTGATATGGGCTGTTTCTTCAGCCAGGACCAATTAAGCCCAATAATTAAGGACAGCTATGAGTCCAGTTTCAAACCATAAACAACTAACTTTTCTCGGGGATCAAACTTTCAACCATCTGATTAATCATTCAGCTACAAAGCAATTAAAATGATTCAGGGCCTCCTGGCAGTTCTTTTTGGATACTGAAGTAGGCAAGTAAAGTGAGCCGAAAGTGTGCTAGTGTCTGAAATTATATTTTCCTCTTTATTTACTCTTACTAAGAGATAGTTGATGGTATAAAAGAAGACATAAGAGCCATAACTAAGTTGTCCTATCAGTTTGAGTTGGTTAAAAAGTTAACTTAAAGGATAAGTTATAAATCAATCTATAAGTTATAAATCAATCTATTGGTGGCTCTAAAACCTCGTTTTGCATGTGATACGCTATGGGCCCGAGAAAAATTCACACCACCTTATGCACCTTCCTTGCCGGGGAATTGTTCTCTTCCTTGTGCATCCCAAAAACCTAAAACCACTTGCACCCCTGGCTCGGGCACAACAGACCCATTTACCAAAGCGGCTCTGGATGGCTCATGTCAACTACATCCATTAAAAACTGGCGACAACTTCAACACAGGGATGGAATGTAGAGTTACAGCCCCTATTATACAATTTATTACTGATGTTCATGATATGAGATTGTGTAAAAAGGGTTTCAAATATTTTTTTTCCTTTTAGAATATTTTTTAGGGTTATAGCTGGAATCACCACACATGAGAAGATTCGTTATCATGCCACATAAAAAAGAAAATCTATTGTGGGTGTTATAAAAGTCTTTGGTGATAGTATGATTTGTTATTGTTGAATAATAGCACCATATGAAATCGGCAAAGCTAGTATAAAGTAATATTATAGAGGTGGGTTCTGTACGTCTGGCTGTGTGTTTGTTTTGGGTTGACACAAAAATTAGACATTTTACCCAATAATGTAGATTATGAACTCTTCCAACTATTTTTACTGTACACTCAACTGGCCTGTAAGATAATTTTGGAAAAAATACACTATACATCTGAAATATCTAAGCTAATTGTTACACATTTAGTTCGAGTTAGGTGTCATCAGTAGAAACAAGAGTAGTGTGGGTGGATAGTATACCATTGGACCTTACCAAAGGAATTGGTGGTGGGTACATTTTATGTTAACTAAAAGATATGGCTTGCTCAATGCTCAGGCTAGATTATTTCATGATTGCAAAAAATATTCTTGACAGAAGTCAAATAGTGTTTTTAATGCATCTCCTCATCAAGACTTATATTTAGATAAAGTTCATTCAATCAGATATTTAAAAAAGTTTAATATTCAGTTTTTAAGTGACATTAATAGTTATTACAAAGAGTTATGAGTTATGACAACACTCATTTTAGATACTACATCAATTACA